AACAAAACAGAGTGCCCTGTGGGTGGTCACAGAGTTGCTTTGGCTAAAGTTTTAAAAATCAAAGAAAAGAAATGGGTCAGAGGACAGAAAAATGTTAGTTTGGGGCCCCCTTACCAGGGATCCCCAAACTCTGGGGAGTGATTCAAAGGGTTAAAATGGGGTTCATCCCCTAGAGATTCGTTTGGGGTGCTTTGTTTGGGGCCCTGAGGCCGTGCTGTGTCTCTGCCTGTGTTTGCTGCTATCTCCTCCTAGATGTCCCCACCTGTCCCACCATAAAGGAGATGAAGGTTCGAGCACCAAAGCACAGGGTCCCTTCTTTCTTCCCGCCTCCTCCCGCTGCCCAGCTCCGCACCCTTTTGGTTCAGAAGCTCCTGTGGAAGAGGGGCTTCCCATCCTGAGGTTCCCTGCTTGCCCCTCCCTCCGAGATCACCCCCTGCCCCGCTGAGGATGCCTGGCAGAGAGGGGAGGGCCCTCCAAACTCGGTGCCCAGCTGCCCCAGGATGGGCAGGAAGGCCCTGAGCCTTCCAGTCCTGGGAGCAGTGGCCTGAGATGTGGCGGCCCCTGCAGGCAGACGCAGGAGCTGCAGCATCTGCGAGGCAATGACAGGTGGCTGGCTGCTGGGGCACCCAGTTCACCCAGGACACAGCCTCTCCAGCCAAAGGAACCACCACTTCCATTCCTTAAAGCTCCCAAAATACTGTAGCCCCCCCTCCTTCTCTGTGGTTTTACTTGCTGTGATTTCAGTTAGCTGCCGACTGAAAATACTAAATGGGAAATTCCTGGAATAAGCAATTCATGTTACAAATGCTGCGCCGTTCCGCGTAGCATAAGGGCATCTCATGCCACCCTGCTCTGTCCTGGCTGGGATGTCAGTCATCCTTTGTCTAGCGTATCCGCGCTGTTTATTCACTTAGTAACTGTCCGTCATCACATCCACTGCCACGGGATCGCGGTGCTTCTGTTCAGGTCACCCTAATTTTACGTACTGACGACTCCAGAGCACAGCGTTATTGTGACTAATCTCTTACTGTGCCTGATTTACACATGAAACTGTATCTGAGGTATTGTACGTGCGTCCTCTGGAGGTCTTGGAACATATGCCCCACGGATAAGGGGGTCCACTTTATTTTTAATATAATAATAATAATAAAGAAACAGGGCGACCGAGTTGTAGTGTGTTTTAAATGTTTACTTGGAACAGGGTAACGCTTTTGACACCTACACAGCAGTGTGACTGTGCTATTCACAAGATAACAAATTAAAAAACTAAACAAACCACAGAGCACTAAAGGCTGGAAGTGGGACACCTGTTTAGCAGGTGTACCGGATAATAATGCGGATTTTTTCAATAGATGGAGTTACACATATGTTGATATATGTGCGATTGGATATGTACACTATTTTGTTGTATTGACAGCAAGCTTCAAAACTTCATATGTCAAATTTTCTGAAGGTGTTAACATCATAGATATTTTTATGCTTAAAAATGTCGAATTCCATGCCAAAAAAGAAACGAGCATTTGCGGGAAGTTTTAACTCATTACTTTATTTTGAAGAAAGGGACTGCTGAATACTTCGGGAAGCTTATGGTGAACATGCTCCATCTCAAGATACTTGTGAACACTGGTTTAAACACTTTAAAAGTGATGATCTTGATGTGAAAGACAAAGAACGTCCAGGTCAACCAAAAAAGTTTGAAGACCAACAGTTACAAGCATTATTGGATGAAGATGCGTGTCAAACTCAGAAACAACTTGCAGAGAGATTATACGTTGCTCAGCAAGCAATTTCCGATCGTTTACAAGCAATGGGAAAGATTTTAAAGGAAGGGAAATGGTGCCACATCAACTGAACGAAAGACAAATAGAAAACCGAAAAGTCATCAGTAAAATGTTGCTTCAACAGCACGAAAGAAAGTCTTTTTTGCATCGAATTGTGACTAGCGATGAAAAGTGGATTTATTTTAAGAATCCCAAACGCACAAAGTCATGGGTTGATCCCGGTCAACCAACAACATCGACTGCAAGGCCAAATCATTCAGAAAGAAGACAGTGCTCTGCGTTTGGTGGGATCAGGAAGGTGTGGTGTAAGATGAGCTTCTAAAAACAGGTGAAACGGTTAATACTGATCACTACCGACAACAAATAATCAATTTGTACCATGCTTTGATTGTGAAACGACCAGAACGTGCCAGAAGACACGGCAAAGTAATTTTGCTTCATGATAGCACATCATCACACACTTCAAAACCAGTTAAAGACACGTTAAAAGATCTTGCCTGGGAAATATTAACCCACCCGCTGTATTCACCAGTCCTTGCTCCTTCAGATGACCACTTGTTCCAATCGATGGCACATGCACTTTCTGAGCAGCACTTCAAAACGTATGAAGAAGGGAAAATTGGATCTCTGAATGGTTTGCCTCAAAACAAGAAAAGTTCTATTGGGACGGTATCCACAAATTACCTGAAAGATGGGGGACATGTGTAGCTAATGATGGACATTACTTTGAATAAAGCACTTTTGATGTTCCTCTTGAAATTATCGTGTTTTCTGTGATTACAAAATCCGCATTATTAACCGGTACACCTGGTAAAGTTGTTTGTGAGTCTCATTTTTTTTTACCCCACCTGTGTTTTCCTGGATTGTACGTTAGTCTCATTTGAGAGAAGATCCAGACTTTAAATCTGAGGGAGCCGTTGATGATGGTGGCATCCCAGTGTGGCCTGGCCATGGGGTCTCCATGAGTTTCTCCCCTGAGGCAGTCCACAGTGGGAAGCAGGTGCCTGAATGTACTTACTGAGCGGGATAGAGAGACCCCTGTGGTCAAGGTCGTGGACTTGGTCCCGGTGTGGGTCAGTTAGCTGTAGTCTGCACGCTGCCCCCTGCTGGTCATCACAGAAATGGGTGACACTGGTCTGGAACGGCCTTTTTCAAACCATGGGCTGGGGGTCCCCAACAGATTAGGGGGTCTACAAGATCAAAATTACTTTCATAATAATAATAAGACATTTGGTCTCATTGTCTCGCAAATGTGAAGAGTTTATTGATATGGTTTCAGATGCCACATTAGAATTAATCTTTAAGAAATAACCAACTGTTGAGTTTTGGTGTCGTGTGAAAGATTAGCCACAATGATCTGGAAATACACCCCCCTTTCCAAACTTGGTACATATCTGTGAGAGTCTGGCTTTTTTTCATGCACTTGACTAAAACCACATATCGCAAAAGATTGGATGAAAAATCAGATGTGAGCACCCAGCTGGCTTTTGTTATGTAATATAGGTTTGTAAAAATGTCAAACAATGCTATTAGTCTCAGTCGGGGTTTTTGTTTTGAGAATAGTTATTTTTTTAAATGAACATCTAAGGGTTTTTTTTATTTTTAATGAATTTTAAGTGTTTTCTCTGTCTAATATCTAATATTAAAAATATCAATAGATATAGCCCACATCACTTGGAGTCCTCAAGAATTTTTATAAAAATTTAATGAGATATAATTCTCATGCCATAAAATTCACACTTTTCAAGGTGAATTCAGTGGTTTTCGTGTATTCCACAAAGCTGTTCAACCATCACCACTAACTCCAGAACATTTCCATCAAAAAGAAACCCCGCACCCCCTAGCAGTCATTCCCCACTCCTTCCCCCCACACCACCACCCCAGTCCTGACAACTACTAATCTACTCTTTGTCTCTAGAGTTGCATGTTCTGAATAGTTCATATAAACAGAACCATACAATATGTAGCAGTCTTTGTGTCTGGCTTCTTTGACTTAGATTAATGTTTTCAAGGTTTATCCGTGTTATGGCCAGAGAGTATTCCATTGTTTGATGAGCCACTCTTTGTTATTTTACCAATTGATGGACCTTTGAATTGTTGCCACTCTTTGGCTATTATGCATAATGCTGCCGTGAACATTCACGCACAAGGTTTTGTGTGGATGTGTTTTTCAGTTCTCTTGGGCATATCCCTAGAAGTAGTTTCTGGGTCAGATGGTTTAACATTTGAGGAACTGCCAAGGCTAATTTCCAACCTCAGTGATTTTTCAGAGTGTAAAGGAAGAAGTCCTGTGACTCTGGCCGGTTTGGCTCAGTGGATAGAGCCTGGGCCTGTGGACTGAAGGGTCCGGGGTTCAATCCCAGTCAAGGGCACGTACCTCGGTTGCAGGCTTGGTCCCTGGCCCTGGTTGGGGCACATGCAGGATCTCTCTCCCATCACATCAGCGTTTAAAAAAGGAAAGAAGTCCTGTGTTTGAGAGCCACTGGGCTGGGTGGGATTGGACAGGGGAGCGTGGACAGCTCAGCACGGCCCTGGTCTTTGCCCTGGGGTTGATTCCCTCAAAACCAGCTCTCTCTTCTGTGCTCCTCTCCCTTCTGACACATACCCTGGGTGGCAAAGAGAGAGCCGGTAGGCCAGGCTGCAGAAGGTAAGCCGCCAGGGAGTTCTGGAGCGGCGTCACCTCTCTGCAGATTTCAAGGGCGCCCTCTACGCCGTGTCCCCTGCAGCTGTGCAGGGTGGCAGCCTGGCTGCAGCCGCCTCTCTCTGCCTCCTTCCTGCTCTGGCACCGGGATTGCTGGCTGTGCCGAATCCCGCGGGGAGCAGCGTCTGTGAGGCCTTGTTAGCAGAGCTGAGGAAGGCAGCTGGCTCAGCCACCCATGTGCCTGGGCCGCTGCTCCGGACCCCCTCCCCCAAGGGGGGCTGTCTAGCCATATCCCCCACCCCTGCCCAGGCCCCTCCTGCGAGGTGATGTGCTAGGCACGGCAGGCGCTTGGAGGGCGCAGCCTCCTCCCACCCCGCCAGGGGTTTGCCAGCCTTTGAAAGAGGAGTTTGGAGGGAACAGAGTTTGGCTGGAGGAGTGATTCTGATGGTGAGCCTCCAGGCGTCAGGGGCAACATACAGGGAGAGGTTGGCAGTGCCCGTGTGTGGGGCCTGCGGGACCTGCCTGCCACCTGCACCCCAGCCAGTGACGCGCTCTCTCTTTGTCCTCTTCTCCCCCAGATGTGACGCCCACGCTGGCTGGGGGCCCTGAGCATGGCCGACACCATCTTCGGCAGCGGCAGCCACCAGTGGGTCTGCCCCAATGACCGGCAGCTCGCCCTGCGAGCCAAGTGAGTACCTCCGAGGCCCGGGCCGGCCTTCCCTTCCTTCGCCATCGCGTTCCCTCCTTCCTTTGGCAGCATTCAGTCCCAGGGACCCCGAGAGAGAAGTTTGGAGACAAGTGCCTCTCGCGTCGACACCAGGCTCCACGCCCTGAGCTGGGCCCTGAACAGCCGTTCACGCATGTAACCGCCAGGCGGAATCTCTCTCCATTTCGCAGGCGCGGAGAGTGAGCCGGGCCCCCAGCCAGGGCCAGGGCCACACCGGGACCTCCTGACACCCGCACCCCTCTTCTTTGTCACCACAGGCTGCCGGGAGCCAGGCCACTCCCTCCCCTTCTCTATGAAAAGCATAAATCCGCCTGTCCCTGCATCTCCAGCCCCTGAGCCCCTGGGGGCGGGGACTCCCGGGTCGCTGGAGGCCCATTGGTAATTGAGTGCCTGGCCCTGACAGAGGGACAGAGTGAACGAGGAGCCGAAACACACACACAGGCAGCGGGCGCCCAGGGCTGCTCCACGCTCTGGCCCCTCCTGGCCCGTCTCGGTCCCTGCAGTTCCGGCTGTCCCCTCGGGGTCCTGGTTTTCCTGCTGCCTCTCCTCCTGGTGACCCCTCAGCTCCGTGCTGCTCAGACGGCCTCTGCCTGCTGCTCCCCTTTGGCTCAAGGCCAGGGGCTCACCGATGCCCCTCCGCCTTCCTGTTTCCTGTCTCTCCAGGGAGCTGGGGGGCCCCTGGTGTCCGATAAGCCTAAGCGTCCCCTTCATCTGTCAAACTGTGTCAGTTACCAGAGCCAGCATTTCCCAAATGGGACCGAGTTCAAAAAAATTTTTTTTTTGCAATTAGATGTGAGGAGCCTGCAGGGACCCAGAACCACAACATCAAAGGGCGAGAAATGAGTCTGAAATGCCGAGAAGAGCGCAGTCCTGCCCGAGTCGCAGGAATCTTTGCACAACAGTTAATTTGTCCCTCTCACCGGGTGGCTCGGCCCCCACAGGGCAAGTACCAGGAGAAAACCAGCCCCTCTCCCTCTCTCCTGACGCCAGGCAAGCTGTGTCCTGCCTGGCGGGACACGTGGCGGAGGCGGGATATGAGGAGCTGTGCTCTGGGGCTCAGGGTGACCCCTCGCCACCCCTCCAGCATTTCCGTCAGTTCTCCCTGACCTTGTCTTGCACTCAGCAGCAGCCAGAGCTGTCATGGCACCTTTTAGAGGAGCAAATGCTTTTATCTTCTCCCCGGGGTGTGCCGCCGTAATGCCAGGCTCCTTGTAATGCCAACCTCCTTGTAATGCCAGGCTCCTGGTAATGCCAGGCTCCTTGTAATGCCAGGCTTCATAAAGGAGAGTACTACAGATCCCCACACCCAGGCTCTGCGCTGAGGGTCCCTCTGGGAAGCCTGGGGAAATTGCCTTTCCTCGCTCTCGCTCGGTCTGTCCTTCTGTCCTCCAGCCACCATCGGACATTTTCTGAACCCTGACGGTGTGCCTGGCACTGGTTGCACAGCAGCCAACGAGACCACCATGGTCTCTCGTCTCCAGGCAGTCATGGGGGCAGTGAGCTCTGTACGCACACTCATCCATGTGCTGTGACAGCGGGGGTGCGAGGGTTGCTGACTTCACCTGGGTTTGGAGAGGCTTCCCTGAGGGTGTGATTCTTGTGTTGATCCTGGAGGAGGGTTAAATGTTGGATGGGAATATGGGGGAGGGGCCTCTGGAAGAAGGAACGGCATGTGCAAAGGCCCTGGGGTAAAAGGCCCACGGAGAGGACCTAACAGGAGGCCGGTGTTGAGGGGAATGCAGAGCGAGAGTGAGACGGTGAATGGGGTAAAGGGAAGACGGGGAGGTGGGCAGGGCCGGATGGGGCAGGGCCTGGTCCTCCAGAGACTCGCATTCGGAGGGGAGGATGAGGGTCCCACTTGCCTCAGCACAATGTTTCAGCCTCTGATGGCATATTGTTTTGACCGCGGTCCCACTGGGCAATGCTGGCTCTGGAACTGACACAGTTTGACGGATGAAGGGGACGCTCAGGCTTATCTGACACCAGGGCACCCCCCTCCCCCGCCGCCAGCTCCCTGGCGCTCTGCCCAGGCCTTATGAAAGCTGAGAATGGACACTTTACCACCTCGGAGGGGATCAAAAAAACCTCCTGGTGACGATCGTGTCCAAGAGCACATGAGTGCGCCGCGGGAAGGGGCTTAGCAAGGGGGGCACGCTCCCCAGGTGCAGGCACAGCGTGAGCTAAGGCCTGGCTTCAGCATGCAGCCCAGGGATGGGGAACCGGGAGCAGTTGTTGCCCATGCATACCATGTGAGGCCGGGGTGCCGGGGATGGGGGCCCCCTCTGGGGACGTACCGATGGGTGCCGGGCACCCCTGGAGGTTCTTCCCCGGGGGCTGCAACCTGAGTGGCCTCCTTTGGCTCTGAGGAGGGGCACCTCGGGGAACACGGTGCTCAGGGGCAGCCATGCCCATGGTGGGAACGGGGCCTGATGGGCCAGGGCTAGGGAGCGGGGCAGGAGTCGGTGAGAACGTAAATGGCCGGGGTTCAGTGGGCGAGCAGATAGAGGTGGGAAAGGAGATTCGGAGGAGGCCCTGGGGGAGCCTGGCAGGCCGTAGGCAGCCGCTAGATGCTAGATGGGAGCTCCCCTGGCCGGGAGGCCTGCCGACTCCTGACTTGCCTTTAGAAAGGTAGAGGCATCTAGCTGAGCCCGGCCTCTTCTCTCCTCTGAGGAATGGGGAGGCCTGCTTTGCAGGCTGACACAAGGTCCAGCGT